TATTTACAGCCTCGTTCGTAAACTACTTACTTTTTGGCCTTCGAACTTGTTTTAGACCGTACTAATTAACGGAGATGGTTCGTTTGTACGCCTGGATAGCTGGGACGTACTTAGAATGGGAGAACATCGAAGAATTTTTTGATAGGAGAAGTATTTTAACCGCACAACTAGTTGGAGAAACTGAAATGTTTCTTTTATAGGTACTGGATTATGCATCGGCTGAAAACATACCGCGTGGTGCACAGAGCTGCAACAAGTCAATTGTAAAGAGACTTCAGCCTTAAGTAATTTTTATTATCATAGCCATATTTCTTTAAGTCATTTCATATCATAGTCATAGCGCCTCTTCTATTCAATATATTCATGGCAGCGCTCTCCATTATAGAAAACTGCAGGAGAGAGGTTTGGGCATTAGATACAGATACGACGTCGGTCTGTTCAACATAAAAAGACTCAGGGTACAAAAACACATACAAAATTCATCACAGAACTTCAATACGCTGATGACTGTGCTTTAGTTGCAAATACGTTACAGCAATTTATTTCAAGTCAATAAGTCATTTTTGTAAAGACTTAAATCAATATAACGTTGTTTAAAAGTCGTTTTTATGACTTAAGTCTATATTTATGACATAAATCATGATGATCTGCAAGAGAAGTCAGTAAAATGACTTAAATCAATATAATTACCCTCAAGTCAACCCTTTTATAAAAAGACTTAAATATTTTCAATGACTTAAGTCTTTTCTAAAAGACTTAATTTTTTTTCTATTTCGGAATAATAAATACTACTACATCTATATCTCTGTCTACTACTAACTGCTACTAATCAACAAGTTACTTTTAGTTTTGTGTGGTCTGTGGTCTGTTTTTGTTTAAATGTTTTGTTCATTATTCATGTTGGGGATTTATTTTTAAATTAATGTTAATCGTTATTTTGTGTGTCACGGTCTTGAATTTTTACTCCCAACGCGCCTAAAGAAGTTTCATTTCAAAAAGAAGAACTTCCAAAACTCCCATTAAAATTTCTTTTAAATCAATAGGGAGGCCAATAAAGGACACCCTAATTTACATGAGATTTCCTATAGGTAAAGGAAAATTTAAACAACTTTCGTTGCACGTCATCAATGACACCATGCGTCGTCTTATGGAGTTTGCTGGTGGTCGTATTATGATGTGCAACCAAAGTTATTTTAATTTCTCTATAAGTCCTCAGCAGATGCCTAACTCGGTATAGTTTATGCGTGCTGCTGAAAGTTAATCAAAAACAAATCCTCTATATATTAATAATTTCAAAGCACTTTCCGAGCTCTAACGATACAGAGGAAACACGCCGATATGGCTCTTAGCCAATCCTAATTGACCAAATAATTATATTCTAAGCGTCTAGGAAGCTGCCAGATGCAAGCTGGAATGATTTAGGTAAAGACCTCTCTGTATCTGTATTTTCTTCTTGGATTTATTAAGTAATGGAAGGTAAATCGGCGTTTGAATTTGAAGGAAATCCAGATTAGAACTCATATAAAATTAATTGGGCCAATAGCAGCAGAGGGTAATAATAAAAAAAGGTAATTTAATAAATTACAGGTGGCTAGAGTGTTAAACTGGCTAAACTTTAGGCAAATTTCTGAAATATAATATATATTTTTCCTTCGGCCATACACCCGCTTTACCCGACCCCTGCAACCAAACCCGAACAGTACAGCGTAATAGACGTTAAAAGTTTCTTCGCCAATAAACCATATTTATTCAAATTTACATCGAATTTCCTACATATCTTGATCCCAGTGAGCAAATATATTCAGCAGCAAATCGTTACTGTTTAGAATATCTCAAAACCAAAACTTACTAAACATTGACAGAGAAATTAATTGATTTAAACAAGTTTTTGTTTATCTCGACAAGAGCGAACGTCTGTTCAAGCTAATAGCTCGCTTGGCTCGGGTCATTTTTCAAAATGACAAATAGTCATTAAGTCGAAATGTGACAACTATTAGCTATAATGATATTAATTCTGTTTTTAAATATTTAGATACAATTATTAAAGAAGTATGTTTTACAATAATTATAATCAGGGTGTGTCAATAGATTTTACACTATTGCCATCTCACAATAGCACAACATCGACAGTTTCCAGACGTTCACCAGTCTATCCAATCGCATCGTCTAACGTCGCTTAACTTCGGTGATCTATCGGGAACATATTTCTGTGTATCAGTTCCTTGGAAAGCCAGTCAACAAATTCCATGTCATTATTGTCTCACGCCACGACAGTTATTTCAATCGCCTTTAAAGAAATCAACGGTTTTTAGCTCCATTTTACATGACTTGATGGTAAAAAATATAACGCCACAAACATACATAAACACTCACACAATTCCCATGGAAAAGAGACGAGACAAATCTGAAAGAAAAACAAAAAAAGTTTAATTTCTTGTTACCATGCCATTTATTGCCTATTCCATATAGTGCCTTCGATTTAATCTTAAGTTAGCTACACACTGCTTATCTAATATTCAAAAATCAAGTCTGTAAATGTAGAGAGACATGTGTAATAGATAGACTAGAATTTTTGTAGAATGTGTGAGAGGGGTGTATTCCCCTTTCTTGAGTTATAACTAATATATATGAGACGGTTTTATAGAGGTTATCTCCGATATAAGTCGTACCAAAGTTTATAGCACGAAGTTTCTCGGCGCACTCAGTGATAAGGTGTTTCCCCATTTTTCCCACAGAATTTCTGCATTCGCTGTTGTTTCTAATATCCAATCTGCTGAGGTGTTCATAGAGGAGACAGTGTCCTCTTGAACCATTGGAGGAATCCCATTCCTTGTTACGGATGGGCATCCTCCAGGTTCTTGATTTCCGCTTTAAGTTAGTTTCCACTTGGGAAGCAGAACGGTTCTGGTCCTAGTTAGAGGAGTGTTCGCTCTTTTTTTAACTAGATTGTTTGCTTTTTCATTGCCTTCTGTCAGAATAGGAGGACTTTATTTTCTTTGTCTAATTTGTTCAGCTTCTCTAGGCATTCTTTGACCAACTTCGAATGTTGGTTACTGAGTTGATAACTTTCAATGTTGCTTGACTATCGGATAAGATATAGATTGAGTAACTATAGACATTAATTGGTTTTGAATCAACATTTCTTTAAGAAAAATGTCAACAAATTTTTGAATAAAGTTCCTAATTGTAGTACCCAGTTTCGGTAGAGTATGTGCTACTTTTGTTATTATATAATTATTATTATTTATCTATTTTCATTAGAAATATATTTTTTTAGCAATTTTAATATCTAATATCATTTAATGAAAACGCTCACCACCTATATTTGACTAAAAGGTCTGTCTGAAACATCATAATGAAAACAATGGAAGTTTGATATGTCATTTTTCATTGAAACAAAACATTTTCTGCCACCTTCAAACAATTACACTAAATCACTTCCGCCTGTGTAGTGTGTGGCCAGCTTTACGCCGAACAAAGATTCGTTTTCCATATAAGAAGCGTCATTTTCCCGTGGTTTTTGCCTCTCGCGCACAGTGCCGTACGTGTTCGCCGTCGCAATTATGCTATACATGCAAAATCATTGCAAAATGCCCCAGAGGATAATCGGCCGGGAAAAAAGTTTTATGTCGGGTTCGGATCGATCGGTTTTGTTTTCGATTAATGGTTATTGCCGTGAAACCGTTCGCGTTAAACGTATACGTACGTGTTTTAGTGCGCTGAAAAATAAAGTGCATCGGGAGTACCACGGTAGTACCTACTACTACCGTGGTACTTCAGAGTAATAGAAAACCGTAAACGTGTCATTAATAAGAGCAAGGTTGCAGTAGATTGGATTCTATGATGTGACTATTGGTCTATTCCAATGTATAGATCTATTGCGGTCTTTATGTTATCTCTCTAAATTACATTCCATCAAAAACATAAAATACAAAAAATTCCATGTCTGGCAACGCAGTTCTTGTACGACTAAAATTTGTAAGATTTCATGTAGAACCACGTCAGTTATTTTAGATAGTGTCTATGGAAGCAGCTATCCAAAAACTTTGTAATAAATTATTGTCTCTAATCAATTACCTATCAACACTAATAGTCTCAATCTTGTATACTGTCATATTTTAATTAGAAGAATGTTGCAAAAAAAAAACACTAATTCACAACAATACCTACACTAAAAAAAAATCTACTGATGATGCTAACATGGTTAGCGAAATGCGCGTCCAGTGTTTTGGTGTATTGTGGTGAATTGGGTTTTAATTTTGCTGTTGCAACACCCCTGTACCTAATCTTAAAATATGTTGCTGTGCAATTGTCAAGTCATCTTAATTATTATAGAAACAAATCTAATACTGTATCTAATCTATTTCTTCTTCACCTTGAGCATTATAAAAAGAAGTTATCTGTCTATAGTATTATTATCCGTCTATAGTATTCTCCTGTGGCACTTTATTCTACTTTCTTCTTTTTTTTCTTTTTTAGGAAAAATCAATTGATCTAGTTCATTATGGTAAAGCCTGCTGTTTTGTTGTAAATCTGAAAAAAGAATATTTAGTTCATCAGAGACTTTTTGTTCAAAACAAACTTTTACAAAAACTACCACAAAATGCAATAAGGTGGTATAAACATGGTATTTAAGAAAATGATATAAAAGTTTGACGACGTCAACCAATTTCTAAAAAAAACAATGCCTTCGATTCTATCTCTGCCCAGAGAGAGAGTCTTCAAAGTCTTAAAACTGAATTAGATAATGAAATATGTAACCGAAAATAGCAATGAAGAAATAACATAATAAATAAAATTATTAAAATGGAGATATAATATGTTACATAGCTAATAAATAAGTTATCGAAAAAAAATAAATTAAATTTTCTAGTTTTCTTTAAGAGTTGTATCGGCTGAATTAATCACCACTCAATTATGATTAATAATATGTAATAAATTAACATTCGTTAACTAAAATAATCGACGAAAATTAACATGAAATTTTCTTCTTGTTACAGCTTGTCCAGTCTCAGATGAGACAAGAGTGCAAGTGTCACGGCATGTCCGGTTCCTGCACCACCAGAACTTGTTGGATGAAACTGCCCAATTTCAGAGTGATCGGTGACCTTCTCAAGGACAGATATGACGCAGCGACGCGAGTCATAGCTGCCAACTCTGGAACGTTGAAGAGCAACAAGGCTCACAGCAATCGGTAAGTCTCGATTTTTAAAAAATTATTTTTTAAAGATTATAAAACATATCTGAAAAAAGGCAAAAAATATCGGTAGAATCACTCACTGAAGTTTAGTATACCTACTATTTTTTGGACACCCTGTATTGTGCTTGTTAAAGAAGTGAGTATACTCTAAAAAACATTTTTTTCTGATTGCAGATTGCCAAAAAATCCAACTGCTTTGATGACGAACAGTATCCACACTAAGAGAGAAAACAAAAGAAAACACAAGTACGGATTCCAACTGAAACCGTTCAATCCAGAACATAAACCTCCTGGAGTCAAAGATCTGGTTTACTATGAAATGTTGCCAGGTTTCTGCGAGAAGAACCCCAAATATGGAATTCAAGGTATGTATAAAATAATAATCCTAAAATAAAATAGCGTCTTAAATATTACCAACTATTTTATTCATTTTGATCACTCCGTATAAAAGATACCAATTAAACTTGAATACTTCTTACTAATCTTACTAATCCTGAATGATAGTCTAATGTTTTTTTTTTAATTTTTTTTTCTAGGAACACACGGCAGGCAATGCAACGAGACATCTGAAGGTGTCGACAACTGTGACGTCATGTGCTGTGGTCGAGGCTTCCACAGCGAGGAGGTGGTGGTCGTGGAACGATGCAACTGCATCTTCCACTGGTGCTGCGAGGTAAAATGCGACATTTGCAGAACAAAGAAAAAAGTCCAGTATTGCTTTTAAGCCATTTTTTCCTAAAACTAGTATTTTAAATCAAATATCTCTCTTGGTATTTAAGAGAAGTATGACTGAGCTTCGTAGAATTGTAAATATATAAAAAGAAATATTGAGAATACTTCTCTTAAGTTCCTAAACAATGTTTTGACCAGTATTAAACTAGAAATAGGTTGTAGTTAATTTAGAAAGACTGAACAATCAAGAAAACGAAAATTCTCACATATCCCAAGTGCGTGTATATAGTTATTATTATTTTATTTATTTATTTTTGAAACTTTCCGATGTGACTGTTAAATGCGAATGTCACATCTCTAAAAATGTTTTTTATTAATACAGGGTGTTTCAAAAGTGTACCAAAAATCTGTCGTTGTATTGGGTCATTTTAGACTATTTTCTGTATAGACTATAAATGAAAAATTTCACATTAGTACTTTTTAACCAATCAAAATGGTTTATTTTGACAGGTTCATCATGTCAATGCATGCATTTTATAGGAACAATCAACTGAAAAAAAAAACGGCGTCAAAGACGGCTGGGAAATGGCAATCGATGATCATTTTGGCTAAGTCAAGCCTAGAAAAAATATTTTTTGGGAAATTGATTTTTGTGTCCAGAAACGTTCTATTCTGTTTTAATGTTTCTATAATTAGTGTTAATTTCTGAAAAATTTTATATCAATTTTTATTAACAGACGTCTAGAGACTGACCTCGTCAAAATTATCACCGAATGTCATTCCCAGCCATCTTTGACACCGTTTTTTTTCGATCATTACTATAGTAAAAATACCGTATGATCGAAACAAACGGCGTCCATTTGGCTGGGAAATGACGATCGATGACACTTCCCATATAAATTTACATATAAAATGACAGCGATCTTCATTTCATAGCCATCGCTGACGCCGTTTTTTTTTTCGATCATACGGTACTTGGCTCTCATACTTATTAAACATTCTTATACTGTTATAGTTGTATTTTTGAAACGTCCTGTATACAGAGTGACTCAGTGTTATGGAATACATCCATAACACGATCATTGTCAATTTGAGTATTTGAGGTTTTTACTTATATCGTCGTTATATATACAAAATACAGGGTGATTCAAGTCTATTAATATATTTTGTACGGAGCATTGAAGGTGAAAATCTTATTACAAATTAGATTTCAGCAAATTGGGCCACTCTGTTTTAAGTACTCTGTATAAATTATAAAAATACACAAAACAATTTTTGTGATATATTTACCGTTCTGATAATTATAATTGAACAAAAGAACATAATTACATGTGGGGTCTCAATACGAACCCAGTGATAAATTCTAGATTTTATCTGTATTAACTTATTTCTTATTTATTTATTTTTTTTTTAATTATTTGTATATATTCTTTTAAATCAGCCTAGCATCTCACTTAGTTTTGTATAGTTTCTTATTTATTTATACAACGAATTAATTTGTTTTAGTAAAATTTAGAATCGGACCTATGGAAAATGATTAAAAATAATTTTGAACTTTGAATAAGTTTAAAATTTGTAAATATTTTTTTCTAATAAAAATGAGTCTTATGTATGTAGATAGTTATATTATTTTTATGATTCTTTATTTATGCCCTAGTTTTAAATGTGTATATTATGTTTTATTTGCATTGTACAATAAATATTTAATAAATATTTAAATATTAATTTTGGTTTATTTTTATCTATACCTTTTATTTCTTATACCTATTAATTCTAGAAGTAATTGATACACCGGGTGCGTCTCAAAAGTGGCTCAACCCTATAATTTTTTTTGTCAGATAAAAAAACGAGATTTGGTATGCTAGTATATGACATAAATTAGGATTGATTGACGTATTCAATTGTTTTTGGTCCCTTCCTGTTTCACATAAATAAATATAATAAAAAAATCGTATTTTAAATTTCAATCTAGAGTGCCATGGATATGTTTATTGTGTTTATTTTGTGCCAGTGCCATGTACTAAAAACACTAATTTTTAATGAAGGAGCCTTGAAAAAATAGATTTGATCCTCTAATGTTTTTAGTGTCTTGTCCTGGTCGGTTAAAAGATGCTCAAATCGTATTTTTAACCATATCTCAAGTTTTTCAAATGGAACGAAAAAAAAATGGAAAAAGCATTTTTTACGAATAATTTGATACCACACACTTGGTATTTGAGTCAAATTTTCGTTATGAACCGCATGTTATAATTTCAAATAAACCATATGCGAAAATGTCAAAATTCTATTCGGTGTGTTATTTTCTATCGAATAAAGTAAAAAAATACCGAAAGTGTCATTCAAAAGTTGTAGTAATTTCCGGTAAAACAGGAAGTGACCGAAAACAATTGACTACGTCAATCAATCCTAATTTATGTCATATATTATCATACAAAATCTCGTTTTTAACTGAAAAAATAAAAAAGTTATATGGGTGAGTCACTTTCGAGACGCACCCGGTATATAGGGTCTCTCTTAAATAAGGGCAAGTATTTAGATTGGTAGTATATTTTGATTCTGAGAGACTTTCTGAGACATGCCTATGAGGTTTTATGCAAAAAAAAACATTCAAAATTTTACGTTTTTTTCCCAGATCTTCCGGAAAATTAAAAAAAACTTTTTAGAGCCGCAGCTTCATTTTCCTGAAGTATACAAGGTTAATAAACAAAGTTCAAAAATATACATTTGTTGCTGATATATCATACAATAAAAAAAACGGCGTCAGAGACGGCTGGAGGATGACAATCGATGATAATTTTGGGGAGGTTAAGCCCTAGACGTCATTCCTTAGGCAGTACTGTTCTTTATTTTAAGAAGATTGTAATTTAAATTGTTAATTTTAAGTGTCTGGAAACCTTCTATCCTTTTTTAATTTTTCTTTATTTAGTGTAATGTTTGACAAAAAATTGTGTGTCAATTTTTGGTAAATGACTTCTTTAGGTTGACCTCGCCAAAATTATTATCGGTTATCATCCCCCACCTTCTTGACGCTCTTTTTTTCGATCATACGGTATATTTGAACTATTCCACTCATATATGGGCCTAGCCCAAAGCCCAATATGTATCTATGATTCCAGACTAGTTTAAATTCCAAGAAAAGATAAATTAAGAATAATCCCACCCTATAACGCCAACAAACGCATGTCACGTTATTTAATTTTCGATAAAATCGTAATTTCTTCAAAACTCATGTCAACTTAACAGAACAAACAAGAAAGAACATAATATTTAAATAAGAAGAAACGAGCTAGAGATATTCTGTTTTCATTAAAACAAACACACGCAGAACATTCCTAGATATAAATCCATAAACCTGCGTATGTATATTCAACATTCTTGTCCCTGAATACATATTGTAAATCAAAAAAAAAAAAAAGGAATCGACGATAGCTCGAATAATTTTGAAATGCCGTCTGGGCTCGGTCTAGATGATTGTGAGAACGGCTTGGTGATTCCCGGAAAATGAGAACAAATAGCTTATCAGCTATGCGTGAGATTGTAGCACCTTGTGAACACACAGTACCTAGTTAATAAGTTGATTTGGATAAAACTAACATTTTGTAAATAATTGGAATATGTTATTTATACAGGGTGTTCCCTAATAGCATGTTAATATTTAAGGGGGTGATTCTTCAGTTATCTTTAGCTTATTCAGTGCCGTCCATACGGGTTTTACTCGTGAGATGGAAGATTTCCAAAGACAACTGCAGAGAATGCGGAGAGGAAGAAGAAACCATAGAGCACCTGCTGTGCCACTGTCCGCCAATGGAAAACAGACGTTTTAAAACTTTAGGGCATTATTTTTTGGAGGGACTAGAGGAAGCAGCAGAAGCCAACTTCAATCAACGACATCGGCAACTTTGCAAAGAGCTGGAAGTACTTTAACACAAAGAAAGAATGAGAGGAAGTTTGGTATAGTCTGTCCAACGACAAGATCCTTGACAGTGATAGATGTGTCTGTCATTTTAATTTCAAACTAGTTTATTTTATTTTACAAAGAAATAAGACCGTACAATTGGAACGCATAGCAGGAAATTTGAATGACAAGTGGTTACTTCAAAATTTTGTGAAAAAAACTCAATAAAACTGAAAAATCTAAGTCGAGTTATTTTATTTGAAGAACAAAAAACCACATACCAAAAAAATTAATTAAATTTCATCTTAATTTTTTAAACCAGTATCTTTTGACATTATTTTTCTGCAGTACTAAGGTCCATTATTTACCTATCGTGTGATGTAGTTATTATATAGCTACTTCAGCTTTTAGTATATGTTTAGTACGATCCGTTTACGATATACGAGATGCACCTATGTATGACGAGATGGTATACAAACTTTTATTGATGGTAACTTTATTGGTGTATAAGACTTTCTGCCTGGGCACCGAGTATTAACTACAAACTGTGCTCTGAGTCTACAGTAAATTTTCCCTCGATTTTTCCTGCACTTGACTTCAAAAGACACAAAACACACGTAATAACACGAATCAAAAAAATGCATCATCTTCCAAAACGCAGGGTATTTGACATAAGTTGACACAAAATTATAACCTATAATTTGGCAAGACTTTTATAAGCCTTAAAAATCTAAAAGCGACTTAATACGCACCGTTTTCGGCGACCGTTTGTCGTTCATCGTTCCGTCAAACCAATAAAATTGAAATATGATCTGTCATTTTTGAAATGAACCAATAAAACAGGTTAAAAACAACAAGAGACGACGTATGACGGATTTATATTTAAACCCATCCATAGTTAACTTCAAAAATATTAGAAACTTTTTTTTTAGTAAAATAAATAGATTGGTATGGACGTCATCCGCTTTTCTTCTGTCATCGTCGGTCGAAATCTTACCTGAGAAAAAAAACAGAGTATACAGAGTGAGGGATTAAACACTTCCCAAACCTCAGGAACTTAAGCTAACCTAACCTTCGCCGACAAAGAAAAAATATTAAATAAAATCTGTTAAAGATAAAACTCGTCTTTGCTTCTTACAAATTCGTCAATTTTTCGAGCCGAGCGCAGTAAAAACGTTGAAAAATTAGTAAAACAAATCGGTTAATGAGTTTTTGCCGCTGGACCAATTTCGTCAGTACCCGCGGTCGTTTCGGCCGTACCGGTCAACCCACCTCCGGCTGATTGACAGGAACAGTTTTATATGTATGACATGTACCGGGCGCGCATCTCCTTTTTAGAGCGACTGCTCGTCGTCAGCCACGTCTTACATAAATTCCGCTAAAACACGGGCGAAATATTTATGGATGGAAATGTGCGCGATCCGGATTTACATTTTATGCAGCAGGGGAAAGAGGGAAATTATGGAACTGGCCACTTAAATAAATATCTTTTCCTAAACTGCCTAGATCGTATACGTAAAGGAAATCATCATCATTATTATCTTTAGCTTATTCAACCATTTCCAATTATGGTGTAGCCTCCTTCGCATATTTAGATACTCTCTTTGTAGCTAGGCCCATTGTTGTACTCAGTAAACTCAGTAACCATCAATTCGAAGTTAGTTAAAGAATGTCTAGAGAAACTAAACCTTGTGTCCCTCTTTTTTGAGTTCTAATTCATCGTACCATTTTCCCACCAGAATCTGCATTTGCTTCATATTTCTTAGCTTCAATTTACTATAAGGTATTCATGCATCGAGGAGACAGTGTCCTGTTTAAAAGCCCGTGACAATCCGAAGATTGTTCTGATTTAAATGAAGGAAAATGTTTGATTTTTCTCGGTCGTAAGTTCTGAGTAAATTTTTCGAGTGTCTTCGACTTCGACCGTTGGAGGATTCCCATTCCCATTAAAATTGGTTTCGACTTGGGAAATAGAAAGGTTCTGGTCCAGTT